AAAGTTTAACTGGGTCCGTTTTTCCCGGTATTTTCTAATTGGATCCGTGAATTCTTTATGACTCAAAGGCGTCCATTTATTTCTCGTAGTAATCGAATCAGGAAGGTATGCCACCGGCGTTCTATATCTCCCTGATTAAATTCGATATACACCGACTCCCACTCCATCATCATCACCAGCATTATCAATTTATTTTCTGTGCTGAGGAAAATTGAAATCGCCTCGATTGTGAGGCACAGAAAACGAAAGGATTCGACATTCCTAATGTCATTGTCGGCTCATTGACGTTGTTATGTAGTATTCTACGTGGGTTGCAAAACTATAGCTGAACGGATGTGATTAACATTGGTTGTAGCATGGGTAACACTGGAAAAAGCGAATTAAAACTAAATTCGTAATCATTAACACGAAACTTACGAAAATTACCATGTTTAATAAAGAATACATAGTTAATAACAGTCAGAGCACACCTATACATTCGAAGGTGTGTCGATGCTGGCTCTGCAGCCTCTACTGAAGGTGAGTTACGATATCTTATCTAATAATCAAAAACGTGAGTCACCTGCAGCTGATTGCATTAGGAGACATAAACGACATCTTGACTGTTTTCGTTCGTATTTTGTTTAGCGAAAATTTATAATGAAATGAAGATATTTAGACAGTTACGGAGGTAATGCTTCCTTTTTGAAGAGAAGTAATGCATCTTCTATATAAAGTTATGTGGATCAAAATATTGTTTGGGTTGGTTTGGTCGTACCTATTTAATTTAAAAAGAATAGGTACATCCATAAATTTCAATGCTGAGCAACGTCTTTTCACAGATCATCGCAAACCATTAAAACCAGACGTACAAAGATTGTATCTGAGTCAGCTTTAAGCATAAACGGATATATAAGGAGCTGCTAATAACTATACGAAAACCACACGAACATAAAAGGGGCTCAGACTCTTTCCCTTTTTATGGAACAGTTGTTTTTTTTGTATATTGATAGAAGGGAAATTCCCCAAAGTGCAAATAGAGTCACAAAAAAATTAAATAGATTTCCACCTGAAATGAAGCGCAACTCCCGCCCATAGTGGACTGGTGAACGCTGAAAAATCCACCTGGTCCGCAATTTGATCCCTGGTCCTCTCCAAGTCTGACGGAGGCTCTACGATATACTGGACCAGCTGGGGAGTTCTTCAGCCGCCACTAGTCGCCTATAGCGAGAGAGTCGCCCTCCCTTTCCGGTGGAAGTCAATTTGATTTCGAGTAGTTTCTTGACAAGATCTATATGAGAGAGAACTTATGGCTGTCCTCTTGCAATTCAAAAACTTTCTGCAATCCACCGAAGTATCAAAGTACTTCTTGGTTATACAGTATTTAGACTGAGATTTACTTTATGATATATTACCCTTAATAACAGAAAAACGTGGTTTCGAGGTATTTTGATTGATACCATGATAACTAAATTGAGAGGATTTCCAATACGCGAAAAACGGTATTCGTCAGGTAGAAGAGCTCATTTGACACTTTTTTTCAGTTTAATATTGCTTTTAGAATGCTAGAAATTCCGACTAATTACTGTACTCGCCTATGCTACGTCTACACTGTGAGTATTGATAGCTGTGTTACTAATTCGTGACCTAAAATTTGGTTTGCTCGTTGTTTAGAAAAATTTTATTTGATTAGTCTTCATCAAGAACTATGTAGTAACTCAAGAAAACAAAAAAAAAAAAAAAACAAAAAAACAGTGCACTAGGACTGCAGTGTATGGCTCCGCTCCCTGTCATAGGGATATCGCATTACCAGGTCACTGAGAGTTGAAGAAACGCCGAAACGGAAATATTATGGACATGCTTCTTGATTTTTGATTTGCTCTTTGACACGCGACGGCATTAAGAAGCGCGCTTCGCAGCAAAGCCGGCCTCAGTGGCGTGGCACAAAAGCCAGCGTCGGTGGCGTGACGCAAAGGTCCTGATTGGTGGATAGGGTCATGACGTCCAAGCCACGTGACCTCGCGCGGGAATTCCAGGCAACCCACGACGCTGACGTGAAACGTGACGTCACGCGTGGAATGAAAGTGATTAAAATATGTTATGTAATGCGACCTAAAAGGTCGCCGCACGTCTCAAATGATTTCACTTTATAAGGTAATTCATTTTCCTTAAAGAAAAATTTGAGGAACTTTAGGCGGTATTCGAACCCACGACCTTTCGGTTGCGAGCCACACACAAGGCCACGCAAGGTACGCTTGCATGGCTAATAAATGAGAAAGCGACGCGAACGAGCCCCAATAACGCTATCGCGTTCCACCCTTAAAGGCGAAGCTTAAGCGCCCTTCAAGATTTATCGCAACGCTGTAGCCCCCTCGCCCAGCCCCGCTGTTAGCGACAACAGCACCCCGTGCCGACATAACCGTAGGCCTCGTTTACAGCCTTTCTTGCAGTTAATTGTTATGGACGGACGGCAAAAAAAAAATTGTAGACGTGGTGCCGACGAAGAATCAGAAGGCCATTATTGTTAGGTTGTTGGCAGGCGTGCACGCCACTCGTTAGGAGTAATCGAATTACTTGTAGTCAATTTCTTTCTAGATCAATTGTGTAATCATTTGAATACATTTATTTGGAAATAATCGCAAGAGTAATTTGATTACCTCTGAAAGTAGTGAAATTATTCGTAACCATTTCTCCTTTCCCTTCTTCTCAAACGGCGCCCTCTGTGTGTGCAAGTCCTCGACCAAGGAATCCTTGAACCACGTATCCGGGGGATGGTTTACCAAAATTTATCACTTAACAAGATGAGCAGTTTATATTTGGGTGATTCCAGTTCAAGAATGATGGTACACTACAGAATACTCGTTTCTAAGCCGACACTCTGAAGTATAATCGGCAAGGTAACGGTTGATTTTTCAATCAACGGTTAATTACTTTTCGTTTCAAGTAATCGAGTAATTTAATTTAATACTTTTTAACCAAAAATAACTTTAATGGTAATCGATTAATTTTTTCGATCAACGTGCACAAGACTGGTTTGTGGCACACTGTTGGCGGCTTTTCTGTCTGGTCGGCTATGCCTACGAAAAATCTCCCTGAAGATTTCGTACTTTCATCCCCGACGTTTCTTGAAAGTCAAGAAGGGGTCTGCGCAAAGACACGTTGTTAGCCTGAATAAGAAGCATGGTGTGTAGAAGTAATTAAGAAGAAGTGACAAACAAGCGTGTCATATATGTTTGAAAAAACGATTTTTTTCTTTGTTTGTACAGTAGCTCGGACGCCAAACCGTTAAAAAGAAAAGTAAGGCAGTACAATTTTTTGCAGAAGGTGAGGAAAACTAACGCTTCTGAAGTTGAAGGGAATTGGAACCTTTATTGTTGTTAACCGTGGTGACAGGGAAAGTCTTTTTTTGTTGTGCGTGTGTGTGTAAGCTCGCAATACAGAGACTTGATTTTGGTGAAATATTTTTTGGGATCCTCTAAAATTGGTATTTTGGTATACAAATTAAAATTATAACTTCTGCCAAAATCAGTAATGGGGTGAGGTACCAAATACGTCCATTTTCTGCTATCAATAGTAGTAATGCTGCTTTCGATAACAGTCCTACACAAATACACACATTTTGTTTTGGTTCTGGACCTTATTTGGTTTAGGCGATCGAGTATTGAAAATTAAAAATGATTTTACTCAGTGTAAGATGACGCAAATAATTGTTAAGATTATTACCATGCATTTCCCTAATCCGCAGACACCCCCCACCCCTTCGTTTTAAGAGTACTACTCTAAAAGTATAAATTATAGTTTTGCACTTTTATAAAGCACTTTGTAAGAGATTCTTACAGTATAGTTTTAATTTTCAAATAGTGCATTAAACATATGTTTCCCTATGCACAACATGATTGCTAAGTTAGGCGGAGATGGCCAACTGAAATATCTCGAGGAGTATACTTCTGATACTCAAAGTATACAAAAAAGCCCGAAACTAGCTTTATTTGTTCCCCTGTTGGTTTCTACTATAGGACCCCTTTTGAAAAAGGTGGAATCGTCAGGATAATGAAATGAACACACGTATTTCAGGACGTCACCGCCTCGCATTTCAAAATGTCTGACTCGTGTTCTGCTTTAAGTGGAACTTTTTCTTAGCTTCGTTTAGAGAAGTCACTCCGATCGAACAAGATAAAAGAGGGGGTGTCTGGGCAAGATAAAACTGATGCCCTCTTTACTCTGAATCAAGGAAACAAGATACGTCGGAAAACTGATAAACAAGCGAGCCTCGTCCTCGTGTATCGTCTTGGTTATATGCGCGACGTGGGGGACTTGGCTACCGAAACAAAGTTGACGTAAAGAAGTAAAAAACAAACGAAAAAATCATATGCTTGAATTTCTGTAAACGCCGAGGGAAAAGTAATGTACCGTAACGGCGTCATAAAGGTCTCATAATAAACGTTACCACCATTATCCTTTTCATCCATCAAACTGAACGAAACTGTCTAACAAAGATAACTTTTGGATTAAATCTGTGTAAAGTTTTTCTTTTTCTAAATTATTATATATGTTTCGAAATAAAACTTGATATTGTTTTGTCCCAGACTATATACACTTTTTGCTGTGAACAGCGATATCACAACTATTTCCTTATATTTGTTTCCTAACCCTAGAAAAAAATAAGAGGTGCTTTGATTTTCTTTTGATTTTTGCTTTTATCACTGTGTCGCGCCTATCATGGTTAAGCTGATAGTGCAAAAAAATAATTCCGCCTTTGTGTTTTTAATATGCAATACTGAGTTTAAGAAAGTTAATAAAGCTGAGTGTGTAAGCCGTTGAAAAATAAAACAGTTCTAAAGTAGGAAACAAAACAATCTCCGACAAGTTAAGAAAAGCAGGCTTGACGAGTTCCCGCATTAAACAATAATGACGCCAAGCAACCAGTCCCTAAGTCAGACCACACCCGATGTTTCTAAATTTGTCGCTAACTCTAGCTTCATCCCTGCTCGAGAAGTGATACGGCAGTCAGCCAGGCTTACCTAAGGGCAGTTTGTCCGGGCCGGCCGATCCCAGTGAGGCGCAGCAGCCCAGGATCGTCACCGCAATGCGTATCCACGAACCCATGTCCCCCGACCAAAGGACCGGGACCTCACCAGACCACAATATCGTTCCAGGAGCACTCGGGCCAAGACTCCGACGCAGACCCCGAAGTCGGGCGTCCAGGTGTCGGGACTTGCACGCGTGGAGTGCTCAACCCCCTCGGCGACCGTCGGTCTTGCGGACGACCAGCCGGTGCTTCCATGGTCTCGCTTGGCCTCGTGGACCTCTTTTTTATAGACGTTGATTTGTCCGCCCCGCCTGCATCCTGTCAGGGAATAGAGGAGGAGGTCCGCTGGTGACGTGCAACTTCATAAGGAAGGGATGGTGTCCTGTGAGGGGTTTCTTGAGATAGCAGACGACACTGGAGTCTTGAGGTCGTCTCGCTGCAGCAATTCGTCCTGATAAGTCTTCCGCAAATAGCAGACGACGCTTGAGTCTTGTGGCCGTTTGGAAGCAGCGAGACGTCTGCCAGAGACAGTAGCCTTGTCCTTCTGTGTCACCAGCTTCGGTCTTCCGGCGAACTGTGACAGAGTTGACCCAAATCGCAGTGTTTAAAGCGTAACTCTTCTTTTTTTTTCAGGTGGCGAATGTTTGTCGGTTTTTTGGGGTTTGTTTTACGGCGAGTCTTCCGGAAAGAGTTCGACGTGACCTGATCGAAACTTTCTGCGCGACGTTACACCGATGCGCACGAAGATTGTCGACGCTTGAGTTTAAAGATGAGCGGACAATGTTTTTCTCCCTGAGTGAGCTCCAATTTGCGGTCCTCCCAAGTTGGGACGAAAAACGGCTTGTTCGAAGGCGGCTGGTGCGGAGGGCCTGCGGACGACGCGTCCAACGAGAACGCTGCCGGAGCCCGTCCGCGTGGTTTCCTGCGGCGGGTTTTCGGGCGGCGCTCCGGCCGACTGCTTACAGGCAGCGGCGCGGACTGCGCGTGCGCGGAAGAGGAGAGGCTCCGGGAGGAAAAGGAGAGAGGGCTCGCGATCCGCGAAAACGGAGCGAAACCAGGCAGGCAGCCGCGGGCGGCGCGAGCGCCGCTTGCGTCGACTAGATGGGGAGAGCACGGGGGCGCCTTGTCGAAAGTAGGGTCCCGGTGCCGCGCGTGTTCGGTTCGGGTCTCCTCCTGCTCGGCGCGGTCGCAGGAAACGGGGGCGGCCGCTTCTCTCCCTGCGCGCTCCTGGAAGCAACACATTGTTGTTTACAAAACGGCGGAGGTAGCGGAAATAATCGCGGTATGCTTTGCCTGAGTGGGCCGGAGCGCGCGGATGAATCTGCCCCGCTTTCGGGTCCCCGGGCTCCTTTGTTGGCGCCCTTGCGAGCGCTCCGTATACCGTGCGCCCGTCCGTCGATCGTGCCAGTTTGGGGCTCTGGAAACGGCGTGTTTTGGACGAGAAATTAGATGGCACCGAATTGCGACGGACGTGTTTATTTGTGCTTGGTCTGATCTTACAGTCGCTGAGAGCTGAATAAGTGCGCGGCTCGCCTTATTATTATTTTTTCTTGCTTCGTGATTCGCCCTTCAGTGTTCGTATTGGCCAATGCCGCAATATAATTGACCGCGAAGCGATAATAAAATGACGGAGAGCCGTCACGCCCCGCCTTTCTTAATTACTGGCGGTTACCAAAGATGTTGCGTGATTTCCTCTTTCAGTGTTTTACTGTAATTCTGCCTTCTAGGGAAGGGGGCTGTCCACGAATTTGCAGGAATGAGCCCGTGTGCTAGAGCTGCAAATCAATCTTCAACAGTCTCCCGAGCTTTTGCTTTATACCATTCGTAACACGTGACCTTCGGCCTAAGTGTGTATCGACTCTGCGTGGTCAATGAGATCTTGAAAATCTCGGGGCGTGGCTCCTCACCTTAACGTTTCTGCCGTCGTGATTCGCCCTCCCGCGTTTCCATTGGTCAATTACGCATTGCGATTGCACCGAGCCGCGCGTTTCTTAGGTTTTCAATTACTATGTGGAGCGCAAGTTCATCTGCTTCTTGCGCAGGAGTTGCAGTGACGTCAGAACGACGCCGAGCTGTGATTGGCTGACTGAAAAAATATAGTGGGTAGACCTCAAAGCATCTAACATGGAGATCTTCCCACTATTCTTTTAAGTCGGCCAATGAGAGCTCGGCGTCGTACTGATGTCACCGCAACTCCTGCCAACGAAGCAGACGACTTGCTCCCTACATGAGGTTGTCATAGCGTCCGATGAATCTACCGATGAATGGGTCGTTGCATTAATAGCTGACAATATGTATATTTTTTTCAATCTAATAATTCATCGAGAGGAGACCCTTTTTTATGGGGTTATTACATGCACCATCTTCGCACTTATCGAACTGGACACCAAAAATTTAGTTTCCCAGCAAACCTTGAAAGATCGATTGCTGTGTTCGATTTACCTGTACTTCCTGCACTGCTATGTTCGGTGCACACCACCTGTATTCGATTTTCGAGAGAATCCTATCTCGAAACGCAATCAAAAGTATGCATTGCCTTCCAGTTTTGTGAACCGGTGCATGCTGGAGGCGGCAAATCGAACGAGACAAGTGTCGCGTTGACAACCTGCACTCAAATGATGTAAATATACTCGTCCAATTAAGATATACCTTAGTTGCAGATGAGCATCGTGCTGGAGAATATATCTTATTATAACCTTTTTTTTTACATTGCTGCTTTCTGGGGTACTGGGGATGAACAATCAGTAAAACACCGCATTGATTTTGTTTCAGCCCGCAATTTTTGTTCTTGAATTACACAGAATTTGTTATGGTAATTTTCCTATATGTCGCACTTTTTGGTTACGTAAATAGTACGTAATGGCTGACAACGTGACATCAGTAGAATTTCGTATAGGTTTATTTTTTACCTTTTTTCACTTTACTTGCTTTATGGCATTTTAATGTATGCTAAACGACGTGACATCAGCATAAATGCGTATAAATTAATTTTTGGCTTGTGTTTTATTTTACCCTAATTACGGCACTTTCATGTATGCTAAAGAAACAAAAATGCCATAAAATGGCTTAAACAAAACACGCCTGTCTGTTTTTGCATCGCTATGGTTATACCTATCTCAGAAATGGGGTCACCCCGAGGTATAATCCGTTATACCTACTTTCGGAGTACTAAATGAGCTCAGTCAGCCTTGACATTTAACCGTTTAATCCTATAGTTATAAAATTAAATATCAAAGTCAATAGAATAAAAAATAATAAATTAATCATTTAAAAAGAAAGGACACCAAGAACTATGACCATGGTCTTCGTTTACGCTCATTTTGAACTGTGCTAAAAAACAAGAACAGCCTGTCGTTGAACCGGGTTTACTCACGCTCGACGTGCTCCTATACGCGTTTGTTGACGAATGGTCTATAAAGTGAAATTTCGACGCGCTAAAGTTTCAGTTACACTCCGTGTCACTAGGTGCGTGCAGCACAGGCGAAGGCAACGCCAGGCGAGGGGAGAAAGAGCGAGCACCAAGAACCTACTCTCCTCTCTAACGTTCCTCTACGTCCCTTCCTCCCCTCTCCCCTCGATTGCCCTCCTATTCCTTCTCGCCTTCCTAATGCTCGCCCTTTCTCTCTTCTCCTGGCGCTGCCGTAGCGTGCAATGCACACAACTAGTGAGACAGAGTATAGGTTTGAACAGCCAGGGGCGGGGGGGGGGGGGGGGGGAGGGGGGGGGGGAGGGGAGGGAGGACGGAGGAAGAGGCATATTGTTGCAATATGTGGCGCTCCATTTGAAGGCGGCACGGGCCTCGCTAATGCATTTTCTGGCTTTCCGTGCGCAAGTCGGGAGATCAAACACGAGCCGCCGACTGGGAGAGACGACGCGCCTTTGAGGAGGACGCAAATGATTATGCACAGCAGCTCTCTCAGGTACCTCGTTTTGCGCCGCTTTGAAGTAGGGCACTCGCTAAAAACGCTCCGCTAACTTGTGCGTTGAGAGTTCCAGCTTCCCCCACCCCGGCCCTCCAGCTACGTAGCAAAGTTTGCTTGGGACAATACGCGTTCTTTGTTTCGGAATGTAGGGCCCTGAATGCCCAAAGAAGCCAAGCCAAGGAAATATAATAGTTAGGCTGTACTTCGGGTTGCTTTGTTGTCATCTGGCAGCTTTGGTACTCAATTGCCAAGTAAAGCAGAATTAGGCTTCACTGCGGGTTGTTAGGTAGTAATGTGCTATCTCATAACCCCTGTCTTCCATTTTGGCTGTGTGGCGAACCAGAAAAAAGTTAGACGTGGCATTTGTCTGGCCAGTTAGCGCTAAGGAGAAGTACTTTGGCCCGAACGAAGGCTTTGGAGTAAACTTTATGAGGCCCAATATAGGTCCTTATAGGACTGCCAAACTTGGGCCCAGTTGGTCGTTTCTCGGCCGTGCTGACTAGGCAGGTCGCCTCCACCCGGCCCAACATGCGGGTTGGAACAGTAGCTAGCGCTGACTTGTCTGAAATATGCGTAGTATTATCGTAATAGGTGTGAGGCCGGGTTATACTTGATCCTTAATATGTAAAGGGTATCAATACATACGCACACTCACGCACGTACATACACACACACGCGCACGCATTCATGCACACGCGCACACAAACGTACGCACACGCGCACCCGCCCCCCCCCTTCCACACACACAAACATATATATAGGTATACACACACACACATGCACGCCAAAATAGGTTCACCAGCAAAACTCCAGCCTCATTTTTACATTTGCAGTAGAACCGTTATTGCAACCGCCGTCGTCATGAAAGAGGGCTAAAAAGGGAAAAACTCCCTGAATAGAGCACCCCTCATACCACAACCTACAAGAAGAAACAAATTACTATACTCGTTTCCACCTAAAAACCAATTGTAAAAAAAAAAAGGCCCGTCTTTTCGCGGAGCATTACTGATGTACTCTTTTACGCAGAGAATTAGGATATATGTAGGTGCATTTTAGATTCGAAATATGTTATCTTATCAAGACATACAAGCCTCAAACGCCAAAAGCCTCACTTCTTCGTCCGGCAACCAAATCTTCTAAGAACCACTTCGCGC